GCACAAATTAGGAGAGATCGTCTACGGACTCTTAATGACTTCCAAAGACTGTTAGGAGACATTTCCAGTCTACGACCAGCTATTGGAATAACACCTGATCTAATAATTCATTTGAACAAAACCTTGGATGGTGATAAAGATTTAAACAGTCCCAGAGAATTAACAGCTGAAGCAGAAAAGGAACTGACAATGATTGAGGAAAAATTACAACAGGCACATGTGGACAGGGTGAATCCAGAGCTCGATTGTATTCTCGTCATACTACCATCAAAAATTTCTCCTACAGGAATTTTAATGCAGAGAGATGATATTATTTTGGAATGGATCTTTTTACCACATAAACCAAGTAAGAAACTGAAAACTTATGTGGAGAAAGTCTCTGAGTTAATTATAAAAGGCAAGCTGAGACTTCGTCAACTAGCAGGCATAGACCCAGCAGAAATTATAGTGCCTTTCACTGCTGATGAACTAAAGAAATTATGGGAAGATAATGAACCATGGCAAAGAGCTTGTGCTAATTTTTTGGGAGACATTTATAACAACTATCCAAAAAGCAAGAGGCTTAACTTCATAAAGAGAACTTCTTGGATTCTTCCTCGAATCGTCCGTGATGCTCCAATAACTGGAGCCCGTACATTCTATACTGATGCCAATAAATCAGGGAAGGCAGGTTACAAATCAGAAGACTTGGGTAAGGTGGAACAAAGTCCGTATAATTCTGTCCAGAAGGTGGAATTATATGCCATTCTTATGGTGCTAAGGGATTTTAAAGAACCTATTAATATAGTCACTGATTCACAATACGCAGAAAGAGTTATTTTACATATTGAAACTGCTGAATTTATACCTGATGATACAGAACTAACCTCATTGTTTCTCCAGGTTCAAGATTTGATCAGGAACAGGCTTTGCCCTATGTACATAACACACATCCGATCCCATACGGGTCTGCCAGGTCCTCTAGCACAAGGTAATGCAGAAATTGATCAATTATTGATTGGTAGTGTGCTACAAGCCTCTGAATTTCATAAAAAACATCATGTTAATAGCAAAGGTTTGAAGAAAGAGTTTTCAATTACATGGCAACAAGCTAAGGAGATTGTAAAGAAATGCCCTACTTGTTCTTTCTATAACCAAATGCCACTGCCTGCAGGGGCTAATCCAAAGGGCACCCAAAGGAATGAAATCTGGCAGATGGATGTGTTCCACTTTGCAGAATTTGGCAAATTAAAATATGTTCATCACACCATTGACACTTATTCAGGCTTTCAGTGGGCAACTGCTTTAAGTTCAGAAAAAGCTGATTCAGTAATCACTCATTTATTAGAAGTCATGGCTATCATGGGTATACCTACACAAATAAAAACGGACAATGGTCCTGCTTATGTTTCTAGGAAAATGAAACGGTTTTTTGATTATTACAATATCAAGCATGTTACAGGTATACCATACAATCCTACAGGTCAAGCAGTCATAGAAAGATCAAATCGAACTATAAAAGATATGTTGAACAAACAGAAAGGGGTGGAAAACACGCCCAGAAATAGGCTACATAATGCTTTGTTAACCTTGAATTTTCTCAATGCTAATGAGAAGGGAACAATGGCTGCAGAAAGACATTGGATAATGGAAAAGTCTACTGAACTACATCAACCAGTTTATTTCAAGGATGTGCTGACCTCACAATGGAAGCCAGGATATGTGCTACGTTGGGGAAGGGGTTTTGCTCTTATCTCCACAGGTGAGGAAAAATTGTGGATACCATCAAAATTAATAAAGGTTCGGTTTGAAGAAGAGAAGCCACTTGGAAAAGATAAATAACAATTCTTTCATAAGGATGGCGAACATACTGATGGTAAGAAATACAGATAGGTTGGAGGCAGGGTTCTTTTCTTATCTCCACAGGAAAATACTCATCTTCAAAGAAATTAAGGGACCCTGAATATTTAATTACTGATGGATGGACACATTTTGTAAGTATTAATTTATATATATATATATGTCTTATTAAACATTTCTTTATAAATATATAGAGCTGGTTTTGAAGTTGGACTCTGGCTCAGTCCCTCTCCAATTCCAAGCCTGTTAGTAAGAGAAAATCCCAGAGTTTCTGGAGTTTCTGTCTCATGTCAAGAGCCATGATATGGGACAGAAAGAAATATGAGTTTAGAAAACATCTTTGCTTTTCTTCATATCTATCATACTTTTCATTGAATATATCTATCATGCCTTTCATTGAATATATATGTATGTCTATATATGTCTATATGATTAATTTTTAAGTTTTTCACAATGAACAATGAGTTTTTCCTGAAGTGACATTTGAAGTTTCCAGGAAGAAGATGGGGCTCCACAACAACAACTCTACCTGTTTGATATGACGTCATGATACTCATAGCTCTACTACAAGACCTGTTTTGGATACCAGCCACACAAGACGATCCCAACTTGGTTAGCTGAAATGGTGCACATCTTGTACAACATTCTGGCCAGACCTCCACAAAATACTCAGAGACTATTTGCAATTTTAAAAGACATTGATCTTGAAATTTAACCATCATTTTACTTTCACAGGATCCCCCAGAAAGAACGTCGCCCCCATGACAGCTGGAAGTAATTCTAGAGGATGACGTCCCCTCTCCCAGTAAAATTTACCCCTGGGTTTAGGGACATCATTTAGGGGTTGGGAGGTTGGGGGAGGAATTTTATAAGCTCAGGGATCATTTTGAAAAAAAAAAAGAAAAAAGAAAAAAAGAAAAAAAAAGAGGGAATGATGGGATAATAGATTTATAATTGTGAGTTACTGCTTTTAGACAAATATATTGGTATAGATTCTTGTATATTGATACAAAGTTAAATTATATTGACTATTGTATACATGCATGTTTCTATCTCTGTTTAAAACATTTTTTATGTATTGACATATATTGTATTGATAAATATATATTGTATATATTTACCATATTGCAGTGTACATTTCTACCTCTGATTAAGATACTTATATAATGTTTGTGTATTGATATATATTTGCCATATTGCAATGTATAATTGTACAGTGTTTATATTTGGAGGTCATTATCCTCATTTGTTACACAGTTGTTTATTGTCTTAGTCTTTAAGTTAGATAGATATTGAGAATTATATAGATAAATAGTCATCTAAGTTTGTCATTTATAATCAGACTAATCAGGTTCTTTAGATATATAGAGATTATACTCAGTATAGATAGATAATCTTCAACCTCTTCAAAGAGCTGTAGAAAATGGCCTTTAATCTAACTCAGAGTTTCGTGATAGTAAGACACAATTGCTCCTGGCAACACCACTCTATTCCCGAGAGAATGTTGAGCACCAAAGACACTCCATCTGGAGCCTTTCTATTTGGCAGAACTGGCCTTTGGGCAAAGAAATGCCCATACCTCAACCACTGACAGAGATACAGAGCGTGCATCAATGGATAAAACAGGACTGTCATATCCTGCCAAGACAGGGTAAGATAGTTTTGAAAAGTTCCTTGCCTTTAATAATGGTATGTCAGTTATGTTAGGCCTTAGCCAAAATTGGTTGACTCAACGTTGCAAACGAGACTTTGGGTGATTGCCCAGGTAGTCAGTTGTCTCTGTCAATTGTTGCACATTTTGGATATATCTTGTTTGTTGAGTAGTGTTTATTCCCTTCTCAGATCTTTGACTGAGTTGAAGATTATATAATTGTAGTTACTCTTTACATTATTTGGACTCCTTGAGATAGAATGTTTAGCAAAGCTTTTGTTCTCAATATTGTTTGTTATATTTATTATTTGTTGTTATTGTATGTAGTTGTATTTGGTTTAGTTCTGTCTTATTTAGACAAAAAGGGGAGATGTAGGTATAAGTCCCGCCCCTTAAGGGGCGTGTTCGCCTCGGGCTAATGTCTGCCTATAAATTTGGCGAGCAAGCTCCGAGCTGTCTCTTCTGCTTTCCTGGTCTCCGCGGGAACGGTGGTTCTGTAAGTCTATTTCTACATTAAAACTATATATATTTTTACAATCTGTCTGCATTCGTTTACACCGCTACATGGTCTACTGGTATCTCTTAGTAGGCTGAAAATTATTATAAGTAGGCATTGTAAAGGCAAATTTTTCTCTGTCCTTTTTTTGTAAAGATATAGTGAAGAAACAATCTTTTAAATCAATAATTATGAGAGGCCATTCTTTTGGTAATAGAGAAGGCAGAGGAATTCCAGATTGTAGAGGGCTCATAGGTTGAATTACCTTATTGACAGCTCTAAGATCTGTCACCAATTCTCCATTTTCCAGGCTGGGTGCTGGATGTCATGGGGTTTGACTTAGGGCTGTTTCCTTCCTTCATCGACATTGCCTCCTGAAGCGCTAGTGGGAATCAATGGCCTATGCTGATACCCCCGTCCCCGCCCCAGAATTGATGCCTCTGTCTTCACCCCTTCTCTCATTCTGGTCAGGACATGGTTTCTGTCCCTCTCCATCCTTCTGGGTGGAGTGTGGGTTGAGCTTGGTGCTGGGGTCCAAGGAGTCAGGTTCCAGGGAGTCCCACCGGGTTTTCACTATGAGCAGAGAATGAACCCCCAGAGAGCAGGTGTTCAGTGACAGAGACACCAAAATTCTGGGGAAGTCATGGGCAGGAAGCGAATGAAGATGAGAGGCCTAGGAGAAGAAAACCAGTCTGTCCCTCTGTTGTAATCCCCCTTCCTACTTAGTGAAAAATGAGGAAGTTACAGGAGCTGCAAGAAAGAAAAACGGAGGATGGCATATCCAGGAAGACGTAAACGAGATGTGTCCTTTATGCCCACCCCCACAAACACTCAAGCTGCTCCCATTCACTCAGCGTTTAGAGGTTGAAAAAATGGGGTGTTCCCCAAAACAGACCATATGACTTTCAGACACAAAGGACTAAATGACCTCTGACATGAGTGTGATTTCTGCCTGTTCCCTCCCACTTCAACCCTCCAGGATATAGTTCTCCATTCTGACAGACTTCCCAACGCTGGGCATCCGCTGCACAGGGAAGCCAAGAGTCACAGTCTCCAGACTTCACACAGGTAACCGGGCTGGGATTGCCGGGGTGGGGGGAGGGCAGTGTGACAGGGAATGTGTTAGGGATACGAGGAGGGGGGACTCTGGGTCTTGGTTGGAAGGAAATGTGTAGACATAGAAAGATCTTGTGTGGACTTGGGACTGCCTCTGACCACTGGACTCTAGTTCAAATTGTGCTGTCCACAATTCCTAGTCAAACTTGGACTCAAATTAACCCCCATCTTTGACCCCGCTCTCATCTGATTTTCATCCTAGCTCTGGCCTCAGTCCAAACCTCAGCTCTTTGCTTAACAGACTTTGGAGATATCCTAGATTCAACTATAGTTCTAACCTGAAATATGTATACATGTTCATGTGTGTATAGGGGCACGTATATGTGTATGCATGTATGTGGATGCTGAAGTTCAACTATGGCTGCAATTCCTCAGGAGCTATATACATTGTTATTGTGTGTGTGTGTGTATTGTATGCATGTGTGTGCACTCTGTGTGCAGGTGCCGGTGCATGCATGTGTGTGTGTTGTATGCATGTGTGTGTATGTGTGTGTGTTGTATGCATGTGTGCGTGTGTTGTATGCATGTGTGCACTATGTGTGCAGGTGCCGGTGTGTGCATGTGTGGAGGCCAGAGGCGGACCTCAAGGCTTTTCCTCTATCACTCTCAACTTTATTTTTTAAGACACGTTCTCTCACTGAACCTGAAGCTTGCCATGTGGGCTAGTCCATGTGCCAGTGGGCTCTCAGGACCTGTGTCTGCTCCCCTCTCACAAGCACTGGGGTTACAAGAGTGCCACTCCAGCCAACACTCCAGCCTTTATGTGGGCGCTAGGGGTCCAGGCTTGGGCCCCCCATGCTGTACAGCAAGCACTTTATCAGCTGAGCCCTTTCCCCAGCCCCACATCGTTTTCCCTTCTTCCCTTCCTCCCTCCCTTCCTTCCTGTTCCCTCCTTCCCTTCCTTCCTCCCTTCCTTCTTTCTTCCCCTCTTTCTGTGGTTGCTGTATGTTTGCTTTTTGAGACAGGGACTCTGATTGATTTGGGACTTATCAATTAGGCTAGGCTGACTGGCAGCAAATTCAAGGGATCCAGCCAGTCTGCCTTTCCGGCACTGGGATTACAAACAGGACACCATGCTTAGCCATTTTGAGGTCAGGCAAAAACCTGGCAAGAGAATCTCCCAGGAATCTCCAAGGAAGACCCCAGCTAAGACTCCTAGCAATAGCAGACATGCAGCTTGAATTGGCTGTGCTGTGATTGGACTGGTGCCTAGCCTTGTTTTCATCAGATGCAACTTGATATGCCATGTTTTATTGATAACTTGTGGGAGACCAGTCCTTTCCTAAACAGAAATGGAAGAGGGATATATTGGGGGTGGGAACAGAGAGAGGATGCAGGGGATTGAGAGGAGAGGAGGGAGGGGAAACTGTGGCCAGGATATTAAATAAATAAATAAATTCATTAGAGAGAAAAAGGCAGATACAGCATATCAGGTTTCTCAAAGGAAATGAGAAGAAAGTCCTTCCACACTTGACATTTAGAAGTAGTGTTTGAGGGTTTGAGGGTATTTGTGTGTTCAGACTGTGGTCAGGCAAGGCATCCTTTGAAAGGCCCTAAAGAAACAGTATGTTGCTAGGCAGTGATGGCACATACCTTTAGTCCCAGCTTTAAGGAGGCAGAAGCAGGTGGGTCTCTGAGTTCAAGGCCAGCACGGTTTACAGAGTGAGTTCCAAGACAGACAGGGTTAAACAGAGAAACCCAGTCTGGGGGAGGGGACCGGACCCCAAACCCAACAACAACAAAACCCAAACCCCAAACAAACAGCATGTTATCGTCTTTCAAACTCTCTCTCTGGCTGACAAAGCAGCTCAGAGTTGTAAGGCCTTAGCTCCAGGTCTATCCCCACCTCAAAGCAGATGCGTTCTGACGTCATGTCTAGCCTCAGCTGTAGACTCAAGCCTACCTCCGTCCTCAGGGTCATGGTAACGGAGGCTCCTTCTCAACTGGACTGCTCCCCTGCAGCCCCAGCCTTGCCCTCAGCTCCACCCTGCTGTTTGTCTCCTTCTTAAATCTAGTTGCACCCCAAACTGACCCCTGGTCTCTCCATTTCAGTTCTGAGAGCCCCGCAAGCGTACGCAAGCATACATTTGTCCAAACAAGACAATGACGTATGAAAACTTCCAGAACTTGGGGAGTGAGGTGAAAAACCAGGAGACTGGAAAAGGTGAGTGGCAAGAAGGGCCCGAGTCTCCCGAGTGCGCTCTGACTATGTCTATCAGAGTTTTGTTTGTCGTTTCTCACCATGCACCAGGGTACCCACTCCCACTCCCAGAGCCCCTTACATTGCGTATAGAAGGTCCTCAGGGACACAGGGACAGGAAGAGTGACCTGGAAGGACAGGACTTGCTGTGCTCTGTGGGAGGGGATAGGAGGTGTGTATGGTGGGTCGTTGGGTTTGGAGAAGTTCACCATTTGCTCACACAGTCGTGCAAAGGCTAAGGATCCAATAATGGCCTGACTGTCGCTGCTGTCCCCAGCTGCCTCTGCGTCCTTGTATTACGTCTTCAACTCTGATGTGACACCTCACGGAGCCCTGCAGTCCCTGTCTGTGTGCTTAATGTCTGTGCGTTCCTGCACTTTGCACACCGGAGGCTGACAGTAGGAGAGGCTTCTGGGGGTGAGGACTCGTTGAGTGGAGCCCCCCACCCCAACTCTTCTTAACCTGTCCCTCCTACAGCACTATCAGGGCCAAACAATCACCCCTAGATAAGGCCCCTGGGGCCCACACCTCCTGTATCTGCACACTCTGGAGCCCTGGTTCTCAACCCTCCCAGTGCCACGACCCTTTAAAACAATTCCTCACATTGTGGCTACCCCAACCATAAGATTATTTTTGTTACTTCATAGCTGTAATTTTGCTACTGTTAAGAATTGTAATATAAATATCTGATCTGCAGGATATCTGATATGTGACCCTTGTGAAAGGGCCATTTGACTCCCACAGGGGTCACCACCCACCAACTGAGAACTGCTGCCTAGGCCCCTTACCCTGACACCCTCTTATCTTTCAGCGGCTCCTCCCCAGTTCTTCCTGTGGAATGTCTTCTCGTGGACCCACCTCCTCCTCTTCTCCCTGGGCCTTGGCTTCCTGCTGCTGGTGGTTGTCGCTGTGATTGGATCCCAAAGTGGGTGCCCTCGGCATCGCAGGGAAGAGAGGAATCACAGGGGTGTTGGTGTGCAGGGTGGACGGAGGCAGTGATGGGTGCAAAGACTTAAGGACAGCAGTGAGGGCCATGGCAATGACAAGGTTAACAGCAGAGACACATAATGGACAGGGACCCATGAAGGGGATGGCTGCTGGCCATGTGACTCATTCTTGTGCATTACCTCACCTCCTAAGCCTCAGTTGGCTCCAGTGCAATCCTGGGTAACAACGGTGTCTGCCCCAGTGTGACCCAGAATGCTACCCTGCATGCAGTGTCCATCTTAGTGCTGCCACAGAGGGGACTGAGCAATCTTGGTTCTGATCATTCTATCGTCCCCATCAGATTCCCAGTTAAGGAGGGACCTAGGCACCCTGAGAGCCAGTTCAGAAAACCTCACCTCCTACATGAAGGCTGAACTACAGGCCCTGAACTCCAAGGGTGAGTTGGGCTCTGACCGGGTTCTGGGCAGGAGTGGGCTGGGTAGGGAGGACAGAGTCCCTTGTTCCGCAGGTGACAGCTTGCAAGAAAGGATCAGTTCTCTGAAAGTGGACGTGGACGATCACAGGCAGGAACTGCTGGCAGGTGAGAGGCCCGGGTCTCTAAGAGTGGGCAGTGGGTGTGGGCAAATTGGTCCCTGGGGCTGAACCATCGCCTTCCAGGCCGAGACTTGAGCCAGAAGGTGACTTCTCTGGAGAGCACAGTGGAGAAAAAGGAACAGGCCCTGAAAACAGGTTAGAGCTCGGTTTCCTGTACCCTGGGAGGAGGTGTGCGTGTGTGCAGTGTGTGACGTTCCTAGCTGAGCCCTGTCCAGGCCACCTGAGCACCAGGGACTCGCCAAGCAGCTGTGGCAGTAGAGCGCCGTTCTCACGTCCATCTGTGTGTCCCAGATCTTTCTGAAATGACGGAGCGTGTCCAACAGCTGGGGAAGGACTTGAAGGCCCTGTCGTGCCAGCTGGCCAACCTCAGGAACAATGGTGAGGAGGACGATGGGTGTACTTCTCTGTGGTTTATGGTCGATGTTACCCTGTGCCGCACCTCAGCCCTGTACTCTCTCTGATGCCTCGTAGGCTCTAAAAGGACCTGCTGCCCCCTTCACTGGACAGAACACGAAGGCAGCTGCTACTGGTTCTCCATAACTGGGAAGTCATGGCCTGAGGCTGACAAGTACTGCCAGCTGGAAAATGCTCACCTGGTGGTGGTCAACTCCATGGAGGAGCAGGTGTGGCCTCGACGGGCTCTCCTGGAGGTTGTCTGTTAGAGGGAGAAGTCATTCCTCCCCTTTCTTTTCTCCTCAGAAATTTATCAATGAACGCAGGGGCCTCGTGCCAATCTGGATGGGTCTAACAGACCAAAACGGACCCTGGAGATGGGTGGATGGGACTGACTTTGAGAATGGCTTCAAGTACGTGTGTTGTCTACGGCTTTTCTCCTTTCCCTGGGACTGTCCTGTCATTTTAGCACATGACTCTGGGGGTTTGGGGGGCCCCTGGTAAGATGGCTGAGGGCTTGACCTCCTGGAGTTGAGAGCCGTTTGTTTTCAGGAATTGGAAGCCACTACAGCCAGATAATTGGCATGGCCACGGGCTGGGAGGAGGTGAGGACTGTGCCCACTTCTCTTACGATGATGGTCGCTGGAATGATGACGTCTGCCAGAGGATTTACCGCTGGATTTGTGAATCAAATCCGAGCAAAGGCAGCTAAGAGTCCCCTTCCCCAACCTATATCTTCAGTGCCATAAGCCTCGGATTTCTGGTACTGGTAATCCCTCTGTCTTGGTATCTCCACCATCTTGAGGCACTTTTTTTCCAGGATTTTAAGAGGCTAGGTAAAGGCTGGTATCTGAAGAATGTAGTGTTGTGTTTGGAATGGTGTGATTGTTGGAATCCTTACACTGTGCTGTGTATAGTGTACAGCCTATTATTGTCAAGGTTTTTTTTTTTAGTTAAATAAAAAAGATATATACATTCTATGAGTTGCCTGGTCATTGGAGGCTGGGAGCTGGAGAGTTGGCTAGCGTTAGCAAGCCATGGTGGCAACATGAGAGTTGGATGACTTTTGGCCAGATGATCTGGTTAGAAGCCCCATTTTGTAATTTATAGGTACGCAAAGCCTAGGCAATTTATTCTGTCATCCAAGTTTCTGTTACATAGGACTGCTACCATTGGCTGCCTATCTACCCACTGGGAACTGAACTGACCCAGCCTTGAGTACTTCGAAAGCACTGAATGATCTTACTGGTCTGTTATACTCATCCCAAGAGACGGGACTGCATTCACAGATGGGTGACAACCCAGAATTACCAAACACTGGGCGACTACAGGGTCCTCAGAAGAGAAGCTCTGATGCTAACAACTGAGGGTCCAGCCAGTCAGGGCTCACAGAGGCTCTCAGAATGAGCAGCAGACACAGACAAAGCATTTGTCCGTACATAAGACCTCGACTGATGACAGGAAGGAAAGCTTCTCTAGTGATGGAAGCGTTAGAATGAACACAGACACTCACCTTGGAGGAACTGGGGCAGCGGATAATCTGCTTAGTGGTTTTCTCCATCAGTTTGGACTTAACAGGAAAGTCAAGGTGGAAAACGTTGAGTGATGTAGAAATGAAGTGTGTGAAGGGCTGGAGAGATGGCTTGGAAGTTAAGAGCACTGGCTGTTCTTGTAGAGGACCCAACTGCACCCACACAGTGGTCCGTAACCATCTGTAACTCCAGCTCCAGGGGACCTGATGTCTCTTTCTGATCTCCATGGGCACCAGGCATACATGTGTTTCATACATATTTATGAAACATTCATATGCATAATGTTTTTAAAATCTAAAAATATACCCAGCAAAACAAATGTGATGCTTTTAATGCCTTTGTTGTAAATTTTAGGTAAATTCCTTGGCAGCAGACATTGTAGAGTTCCAAACAAACACACAGATCATGTGAAATAAAAAAAAAAAACAAAACACCTAAAGTAAAACAGAAGCCAGGTAGGGTAGTGTGTGCTTGTAATCCCAACATTTGTGAGGTTGAGGCCAGAGCACTGCAAGATCACTGCGGTCTGAGCTGTATAGCAAGACCCTGTTAAAAAAATGGAATAAAGGGAAAATAAATACATAATAAAAGAAGTAGGAAGGGAAAATCCCCCAAAGGAAAAAGATAATAAATAAATAAAGGAAGGTAAAAAGGAAGTCAGACCCAAAGTTTATACACCAAATGTTATTGCTTAATGGGGGCTGCGGTGGTGAGGAAGAACCACAGAGCTCAGCCAACCCATGTGGAAGCTTGTTAGGACGGGGCGGATAGGGGGGCTTGTGTCGGTTGGCAGAGAGCAAGACCAGGGCAGAGAGCAATGAGATGGAGACAGACTGAGTTTGCCCTCTGTTGCTGTGACAGAAAACTCAGAAAAACTCATGGCAGAAAGGGTTTGACTTTCTTTCCTCTTATTCAGCACAGAGCTTTGCCACTGTAATAGGGCAAGAAAAAGAAATAGAAGGGACACAAATAGGAGAAAAGATGAGCTTATATTATTCTTGACCGCAGATGGTATGATCATACACATAAACACTTTGGGGCTCTGTCTTGTAGGTTGAGAATGTACTTCAGTGGTAGAGGCTTATCTAGCCTATTGCCTAAGGGCCCAAGCCCTGAGTTCCATCTTCAGTACCAAGAAATAAGTAACTCAAAAACCACTCCACTATAAGACTGATAAACATTGTAATCAGAGTTATAGGATGCAAAATCAGCGTGTGAAGAGCAGTTATAGCTAATATAACCCAAGAGATGAATGACCTGTATAATGAAAACTTTAAAATACTACATTTAAAAATTGAAGAAGATACTAGAACATTGAAAGATGTTCATTGCTCACAGAAAGTAGTATTAATATGAAAAGGAGTGCGTTGCTGAAATCAAGCCACCTAGTCAGTGTAACCCCTCTCAAAATTCCAGTGACATGGGGCTGGCAAGATGGCTCAGTGAATATAGGTGCTTGCTGCCAATGCTGATGACCTGAGTTCAATCCCTTGGATATATGTGGCGGGAGAGGAAAACTGACCTCCTCGAATTTTCTTCTGACTACCACACATTTGCTGTGGCATGCAACTCTCCTCCTAATAAATAAATGTAATAAAATCCCACACATTCTTCACAGAAATAGATCAAACTATCATAAAATTCATATGGAAACGGTAAAGTCTCTGAATTGTCAAAGCAATTTGAACAGAAAGAGTAATAATGCGGTGTCATAAACCCTGGTCTCAGATTATACTATGCTCTGGGCATGGTGGTGCAGGCCTTTGATCTCAGAACTCACAAGGCAAAGGCAGGTGGATCTCTGTAGATTCAAGGCCAGCCTAGTCTATACCATGAGTTAGTTATAAGTCAGTCAGGGATATACAGTGAGACCTTGTATCAAAAATACAACAAATAAACAAAACATCAAATTATGTTACAGAGTCATAGTAATAAAAACAGTATGGTACTGGCAGAAAAAAAGATACATACAGAGGAGACGAAGCAAGCTGCTTAAGCCAGGATAGAGGCACATGTTGATAATCCCTGCACTTGGGAGGCAGAGGCAGGAGGATCCCTATGAGTTCAAGGCCAACCTGATCTACAAAGTGAATTCCAGGCCAGGCAGGGCTTCAAAAACCAAAGAAAAAGAGAAAGAAAGAAAGAAAAAGAAGGGAAGGATGGAAGGAAGGAAGGAAGGAAGGAAGGAAGGAAGAGAGGAAAGAAAGAAGATCCTTTCATGTTGATATATTGATTATGGGAACACTCTATTAGGAGCACAGAACAATTCTGAAGATGTATTGCTGAGTTCTGGCATATCCAGTTTCACAAAACAAACACTGCTGGTTGCAATGGCACAGACTGACCTCAACACGACAATACTTTAAGACTGACTGACAGGTCATGCAGTCAAATGAAAAACTAAACAAATACATCAGAGTTGTATGATATTATATATCAAATGGACTTAACAGATGTTTATAAGATATTCTACCCAAAGGCTACAGATTACATCTTCTTCTTCACAGCCTGTGAAATACCCTCCAAAACAAGACCACGTTTTGGAGCCACAAAGCAAGTCTTAGCAAGCACAAAAATATTAAGATAATTTCATTTCTTATATAGGATCAAAATGGATTGAAACTAGAAACCAATATCAAAAGAAAATACAGAAAATATATAAACTCATGGATACTGAGCAACACACTGTTGAGTGATGAATGGGCCCCTGAAGAAACCAGGAGTAAAATTTAAAAATTCTTTTTTTTTTTTTTTTAGAATGAGATTTTATTTTTTATTTTTTTTAACTTTTTTTTATTGAGAAAAGAAAAAAAAATTTCCTCCTCCTCCCAGCCTCCCATTTCCCTCCCCCTCCTCCCACCCTTCTCCCCCTCCTCCCACCCTTCTCCCCCTCCCCCCACTCCTCTCCCCCTCCCTCTCCAGCCCAAAGAGCAGTCAGATTTCCCTGCCCTGTGGTAAGTCCTAGGTCCTCCCCCCTCCGTCCATTTCTAGGAAGGTGAACATCCAAACTGGCTAGGCTCCCACAAAGCCAGCACATTACGTAGGTTCAAAACCCGTGCCATTGTCCTTGGGTTCTCATCAGCCCTCATTGTTCGCCATGTTCAGAGAGTCCAGTTTTAACCCATGCTTTTTCAGTCACAGTTCAGCTGGCCTTGGTGAGCTCCCAATAGATCAGCTCCACTGTCTCAGTGGGTGGGTGCTCCCCTCGTGGTCCCGACTTCTTTGCTCATGTTCTCCCTCCTTCTGCTCCTCATTGGGACCTTGGGAGCTCAGTCCAGTGCTCCAGTGTGGGTCTCTGTCTCTGTCTCCATCCATCACCAGATGAAGGTTCTATGATGATATGCAAGATATTCGTCAGTATTGCTCTAGGATAGGGTCATTTCAGGTTCCCTATCCTCAGCTGCCCAAGGAACTAACTGGGGACCTCGGCTTGGGCATCTGGGAGCCACTCTAGGTTCAAGTCTCTTGCCAACCCTAAAATTCTTATACATGAATGATGTCAAAAGCATACTAGAACCTATAGGAGTCAGTGAAAGCCATTCTAAGAAGTTTATAGCTACAGATGCCTATGTTAAAAACTCAGATCACAATAAATAACTTAATGACGCACCTTGAAATCCTAGAAAACCAAAATCAAGCCAAATTCAAAATCAATAGGTAGAAAAAGGATCAGAGAAGAAACAAATGGCATGAAAAAATATACAAGAATTAATGAAACAGAGTTGATCCTTTGAAAAGGTGAAGAAAATGGACAAGTTGTGGATTTCTGTGATGGGTTCCATCTGCTGCAAAGAGAAGCTTCTTTGGCAAGGAGTGGTCACTACATTTACCTGTGGGTGCGGGGTAAGTTTAAGATGCAGCTAGGCATTGTGCTGGTCTCCTAAAGTGGCAGTAGTGGGCTCTCTTCTAAGACCCATAGCCTCATAAATCCTGGCTAGTTGTTAGATTTCTAGTACCAGGCATGATTTCCCCCATTATTGAGAGGACCTTTTAAGTCCAATCAGACAGCTGGTGGTTACTCATAAGAGGTGAGAGCCACTGTTGCATCTATAGGGATATTTTGCCACACTGATCATTGTTATAGTTCATAGTCATCACAGATTGAAAGGGTCATTGACGGTGTCTCTCCCTTGGCAATTTATATATATTATTTTCTGGTATTATAGAAGCTGTACCACAGGAAGGAGGCTTTCAGGCTAGATTCAGCTCAACTCTTACGGGTCTTGTATCCAAGGTCCATGGTGTTGACTTCTGAGACATAACCAAAGGCCACAGCCTTAGCAATGGAAACTGATACAGAAAACCACAACTGGACATAGTGCAGAGATCAGTGGATCATGGGGAGCCCAGCACTAACAGATACATCTACAACTCCTAGACCTAAGGCTTAGGAAACCCTTTGGATGGGGGTAGAGAGATGGTGAGTTGGAAACG